CTTTTGCACACATAAAATAGTAATAGTTCTTTGGTCTAATGACATGAACAATTTTAGGTACCAATTATTTTAATTTTACCTATAAGAAAACAAGAAACTTTTTTAAACTTAATTTGAGTTAAAAAGTTAATATTAAATTTTGGTTAACTCTTAACTTAATTCAATTGATAGAACATTTTGAATTAACTTTTAACGATTAACTTGATTTAGATTTAAATTTAACTTAACTTAACTGAGTTAAAAAAAATCATTAACTTGCCCAGCCTTGACTGGTGGTTTTATAAATATCAATGGTGTTAGTATATACATAACATACATCGTTTGTATTCGTAGTAGATATTTAAATACACCCTAAATAAAATTTCACATGTAAATAAGGTATACATTTATTGATCACAAAAGGTTATTAGGTCAAGTACGAACAAATGTTCGTAATAGGCAGGTGATAATCGACTAGGTGCTTATAAAAAGATTGAGAACCGCTATTCTAGTGTACCAGTGGATTTCAATATAATATTGTAAGTCCAGGACCTCGAATTCTAATGATGCACAGGGACTCRCAAAACCTGGGAACGGCACTTGGTTAGCTAAATATAAATAAAAGGACAAATACTAAAAAAATAATAACAAACAAGTAATACGTAGTACCTAGTTAGAATGTATGTAATCCTACGTTGGAATTAATCAAAATAATTATACAAAAATCAATGTAAACATTATAAACTAAAAACACGCGCATACCATATAATGTTGCGTATGATACGCGCCCATGTGAAATGGGCGTATATGTATACAATAAGATTACGAGAGTAATTTTAGCCAACCGTCGTATAATATATGCCAGTTTATCGGATTATTATGTATAATAGTGGCCGTGCTGAAGACGTTTGTGCGATGAGTAATACAATTTTATGCCGGTATCAATGTTGTGACGGTTTCTGCAATGTCTCACGATGGTTGAGAATGTTGAGATGCACTTTTACGAAAGTAACGAAAAGCGTCGTAATATGTCTCCAGATATTCCTAAAGGCTAAAGCGGCTTGCAGCTCACACAAAATAAAAAATATGCGCCTCGAATTTATTATGGGTAGGTGTATGACACCGAATCGACATTCGACAATAGAAAAATGCAATACGCAGCACGGCATGTGCGCAGGAAACGTGTTAATAACGTGCAGTTACATAACAATTAATAACACGGAAGAGTTTTGCTGTTAGCGCGTTTCGCTACCACTCAACCAAGATGCGCAGAACTTTTAATGAGAGGCTCTGTTAACCCTCTGTCGTCACACGCGATTTCACCGATGGTCTTACCGTCAGCCCGGTTGTCTAACGTTTAATTTTCTTTTTCCAACGGTTAAACCGAACWCTGCAATGTAACGTTCATCTTCGTTCTGCACCGAATCATCGCCGTTGGTGCGGAACGSCGTGAAAATCCTGTGTGATCACCAGACTTGTGTTGTTTTTTTATCGTGCTGTGATCAGCTGGCATTCACGACTAATAAGTTATTTTATTTTATTTTTATGTATAAGTTATCGAATTTTTGTTTTCCGTCTTTGCGGTTGCAAAGCAAAACGCAGAGTTGTTTTCATTCGCCACCCGCGAAGTGTTGCAGCAATACCTGAGCAATAGTTGTTTAGATTTTAACGCACACCAGTATGATCACGTGACCTGCGGCGAAACTTTTACAGTTACTGACACGGCTTGAGCTAGCGTATGACACAGGGCAGCAAACTGCTTATGTTGTTACTTGTTCGTGGGTCTCCGTTTCCGATTCTCAGGGAATATTGTACGAGGTAAGCGACAGGGGAAGGATTTTCGAACTCAGAACAGTCTTTRCGCCAATCCGTTTCGCTAGAACTCCTCCAAAGTGCGCAAYGGGTCAGAAGCTTCAATCCTGCTCCMTGTTCAAACTCTGACGTCCCACGACATCACCAGCATAGTTCAACGTTATAATAGTCTTACCGTCGACCGTGCTGCCGCGCACCGACCCAGTTGTTTAACGTAAAGCCGTATGCTAGCTGATTTGCATGGGAAAAACAAAATTGCTTGTATTAGTGTTATATGTACTTATGTCCAAGCTGGTGACTACGTTGCACTGCACATGCGGCAAAATACTAACTATTTTGTATTCTTTCTCGTGCAGTGTGCAAATCAGCTAAGATATCAGCTTAATATAAATGAACTTAYATGTTTCGTTTAGATAAGCGTTATGACATGTATATCACTAATAAGTTTACCAGTACCTATATATACAATATACAGTGAAAACTGAAAACTCTCTATAACGAATCTGAAGGGACAAGGTTTTCACGTGATCGAATATTATTATTTTTTAATATTATTTTTTAAAATGTTTTGAACACTTCGCATAAGAAGTAAAGATTGATATAACCACGAGTGGTGAGGCCAAATTAATAAATAACATTATTTTTCAAATCAAAAGTCCATGTCCATGTAGAAGACTTGAAATTGTGCTGAAGCCTTACAAATTTTTTTTTTTTGATTTGATAAAATTTATTTTTGTTGTTTAAAATATAAAAATTAAGAGCATATTTTATAACAGGTTAGATGTATTGGAATGTTTAGAATACACTAGATGCATCTTTTTAAGAAATTACATTCCCAGGCCTCATGCTCTTCAGTTATTATATTTACTACCTACATATTATGTTTGYTAAGCGTATAAAATATGAAMTGGCTGTAAGTGTATATTTATAGTATACCTATACCTAAAACGTATATCTCTATACCTATAGGTTAACAATAGCGTCAAGCATCCTTAATCAATTATCAATACAAGTTCGATATATTATATATTTTTAATAAGCAATATGTATTATAATACGCAATGCGGATAACCATACGTAATATGATTCTTAAATAATATATATATTATTTTAAATTACTGTCTCTGCTTAATAATCATAAATTAACCACCTATATTATATTTTTGGATCAGGTATAGGTACCGTCAGTACTTTTTCGAATTTCAATCATTTATATCGACAAATCTTTAAAACCAACAAACAGTAGAGGCTACAGATACATATATGGATCGTATAGTGTTTAAAAAGTAAAATGACTGTGCATTTTTTGACACTAAAAAAAAAAATTGAAATAAAAAAAACTTGGATGACGGACGTATAAACGATCGGCAGCTGACGTCAGTATCGGCGGTATTCATAATAATAATAATAATATGAAGTATACCCTAATTACGTATTCACAGACATGAACTTGCAGCTAAATTCGTCAGACGGCGGTATATACCTGCGTGTATACTGCATACAGTATACATACGAGAACGAACGAGTCGTTATAACCATATTGGACGACTCTGTTTGACTGTCGGTATATGTTTGAGTGTGTGTACACTGTACATTATTATTTATGGTCGTGTACGACGTCTTCGAGTTACCTAGTTAGAAAAGAGTCTCGCATGCGCGTCTCTTGCAATAATTTTACACACACGCACTTGTTATATATATATATATATATATATATATATGTAACATGTATGTATATACATGTAAGTAGAAGTACCTGAATGTTTTATAATTTCATCAGTGAATATACAACGTTTACAATCAATGATCCTCCGTCCGATATAAATCTTCCTTTTCAATTTGCCCCAGAAAACTACTGCAGTCGGTAGGTTTATTAATAATAATATTATAATTTATAATTCATACTTTATAAGTTATAACGTGGTAACATAATTTTTCAACGAGAGCTATAATATACGAGCACGCAAAGTGGCTATATTAAAATATGTTTTAATAATAATAATATTTGCCTCTATATATGACTATAATATGAGTACGATACRCATTATAAATTATAATACGGCTACGACCGACCATCGTACCGCCGCCGGATGTTTTCCGACGA